TACCACAAAGCCTGTGTTCAGCCATCGAGTTGCATTACAGTGGTTTGAAAAGCAACGAACTCCAACAAATTTTCTTGCTTTGCAGTCTACTGGGTCAGAATGCAACCATTCAAAACTTGTTGAAATATGGCATAGGCTTGGGCTTATTCCCAGGAGTCAAATCTGTAGAGGAAGCACGAGCTCAAGTGCTAAATTTGGTGACTAAACTCAAAGACTCTTCTTTGTTGCTGGATAGTGGTAGCAGTTTGAACTTCGATATGCACGATCTTGTTCGAGATTTTGCCACATCGACTGTCTCTAAGGAGTATGGCGTGTTGGCTTTAACAGAAGACGCACCAATCAACTGGTCACACATGGAGGCGATGGAGAGCATCAAATGGATTTATTTATCAAATGGGAACACCAGTCAGCTTCCAGATGAGTTGAAATGTCCGAAACTTACTTTCTTTCATTTGTCTGAAAAGACTCCTTCTCTAGCAAGTCCACCAAACTTGTTTAGGGATAAGGAAGGACTCAAAGTCTTGAGTTTGTCGAAAATGAATTTTTTGTCAATCCCTTCCTTAATTTCCCCCCCAAAAAACCTTCGTACTTTGTGTCTGGATCAAGTTGAGTTAGGAGCCGCAAACATAGGCACAATGATGGGAGCGCTGGAGAATTTGCAAGTCCTCAGCCTTGCAGGATCTGATATCAAAGAGTTGCCAAAGCAAATAGGGCAGCTAACCAAGCTGAAGTTGTTAGATTTGAGTGATTGTAACGAACTCAAAGTAATTCCACCAGGTGTCTTGTCAAATTTGTCAGGATTAGAAGAACTATATATGAGAAACAGCTTTGTTCAATGGGCGGAGGGCATTGAGGAGCATGAAAATCAAAATGCTAGCCTAGCAGAGTTGCAGACTTTAATGTCGTTGACTTCTATAGAGCTACATGTTCTTTGCAAGATTTGGAAGATTCCGGAGGGCTTGTTCTCTGAAAATTTGGCAAGATTCAAAGTTTTCTTGGGAGATAGGTGGAACAACTGGAATAGTTCTTGGGGAGTTTCAAAATTATTGAAGCTAAAGCCAGATGCAAGAAGTAGTTCTCACCACTCAGTTAGGAAGTTGCTAAAGAAGACAAATGAACTACATCTAGAAGGACTGATTGGTATTAAAAATGTAGTCAATGAATTAGATAACGACGGTTTCCAAGAATTGAAGTATCTCTTTGTCCAAGATGCTTTGGAGATTCAACATATCATCCCAGTGAAGCCTGCATTTCCTGTATTGGAGGTATTAGTTCTTCGCAATTTGGAAAATATGGAGAAGATATGTCATGGTCCGCTAGAAGCAGCTTCTTTTAGAAAATTGAGGTTGATAACTATTGAATGTTGTAACAAGTTGAAGAATTTGTTCTCCGCCTCTATAGCCAGACAGCTTCAGCAACTACAAGAAATTAGAGTGAAACACTGCACTGACATGGAAGAGATTATTGATGACAAAGAGCAAGAGAGTGGGAATAGTGCTGAAGAACGTGAAGGACATATTGTGGAATTAATTACTCTGCGATCCTTGAAGTTACAACGTCTACCAAAGCTGATTAGCTTCAACAGTAGTTGCAGGAACATGACTTTTTTCAATGAAAAGGTATTTAAATTTTTTTTTTTCCCATTTTTGTTCTTTCCAAAGCTACCAACTAGATTTCTATCTATTTTTCTATTCATAATAGAGTATTATTGTGAGTTGGGGTTAGATTAATAGAAGAATAATATACGGTTGAATTGTATACTTTTCATTGAGTAGAGTATTTATATAATAGTTTATCAGATACAAAATTATACAGTAACTAAATTTCATGAAAGTGCAAGAAAATTAACAAATTTGCTAAATAAATTTAATTTATCAAAAATAAAAACTAAAAAGTGCATTTAATAAGTGGATTTCAACATAATATCTTTGATAAAGAAGGTAATATGAAGATGAATAAGATATGACAATGATATATTTAAAATGATGTGCCATTTTAAATTTGTAACCATGACGTGTTATTATATAAATAATTCTTTTTATTTAGTGTTTCATGAGTAATATTGTATACTTTTTCTCATTTAATTTATAAACTTATAATTCTATATACGTGGTATTGTAACTATATTATTGTCGCATATATAAGACAATCTTTGTTCTTTTCTATAAACAAAATGATAAGCCTTTACCTCATAAAAAAAAACTACTTGTTGTGCAGGTTGTGCTTACAAACTTAGAAGAATTGCAGTTGTTCTCAATTATGGTTGATAATACCTTATGGCACAATTCAATGACCTCTTATATCGAGAAACTGACAAAGTTGATCATTCATGGCTGTGACAATTTGGAATACCTATTCTCATCTTCTATGGCAAGATTGTTGAATCTTAGACATCTGCAAGTAAAGAAATGCCCAAGGATGAGAGAGATTATTGTGGCTAATCATGATCAAGAAAAAAAAATTTTAATTTTTCCTCAATTGACTTTTCTAGGGATGGAAGACCTTCAAAACCTTGTTGGCTTCTCCGTAAAAAATTATACTATGGAATTCTCATCCTTAAAACAACTAGGAATATTGAACTGCATAAATTTTGGGAAATACATTATTCCAGGTACAAATTACGTGTGCACCATGCCATCACTCTTCATGGAAAAGGTAATTATTTCCTCAATTCAATTGCATTTTACCTTTAATTTTCGGAGCTAAAATTGTTCTAATCCTTTTGCCCTTATTGTCATGTTGTGTAGGCTATTTTCCCCAACTTTACTAGCACCCACTTAGAAAAACTTAGAACCAGTTAATTTTAGCAATTGCTATATATATAATAATTTAGTCATATTTTTATTTTTATTTCCATTTCTAAATTACTATATAACAAAACCACATGTGTATAGATTCCTTTATTTTGCAAATTAAAATTAAAAAAAAAAAGAACATTTTCATTAACATTTATTTTCCCAATCAAGACAGAACCTCATCAGCTAATGAAATTATTATACAATTTCACAAAAAAATTAAATATATTTAATTAATCAAAAATAAAAATAAAAAACATTATTAAAATCTTTAAAACAAACAACATTATTAAGATGAAATAATAGACTATAAATCAAGGAATAAACCTCCCCAATTCGAGTCTAAACCTCCAATGTGATGCCTCAACCTCTTAATTACCACCAAAAGTCCCCTAAGGACACATTTTGACTTGTATGGTGAGGCCCAAGATGTACATGATAATCCTTTTTCTTATTTATAGACAAAATGATAAGGTTGTGATAAAAAGAATTGTATCCTGTGCAGGTTGTGTCTGCATCAAACCTAGAGGAGTTGCAATTGTGCTCGATTGAGCGTACTACCACCATATGGGAGATTTCGATGATATCTTGTTTTGAGAAACTGAAGAAATTGATTATTGATGACTGTAAAAATCTGGAATACCTATTCTCATCTTCGGTTGAATCGGATTCAGAAGGGATGATCCAACTCCTCCTTCCAAAATTAAAGAGGTTAGAATTGGGAGATTTGCCCCAGTTGAAGAGCATCTGTAGGGAGAGGGCAGCAATGGTATGTGATTCTCTTGAACGGATTATAATTTGGAATTGCCATAGCCTAAGAAGGTTCCCTCTTTATTTTCCCCAACTTGAAAATGGACAACCATCTCCTCCTCCTTCCCTCAAACAAATCGTAGTATGGCCACAACATTACTGGAAATCTTTAGAGTGGGACCATCCTTATGCAGGGCATGTACTTCTACAATTCTGTGGAAGATATGATTCGTTTCCTTTCAAATTAGTAGAAGGGCGTATTAAAAGGTTAGAGTTGACTGATATTGATGTAGAGAATACTTGGGTGCCACCATCCGTACAAGAATTAGTTCTTAATGGATGCAACTACTTAAGAAGCTTAAATGATATCTCTTCCACTAAAGATGCAGAAGGATTGAAGTGCTGTAGGATTCGAGACTGCAATGGCGTGAAGTGTGTTCTTTCCTCGTCCATAAATCTACTGGCCCAAAAGCTTGAGGCTCTGGATCTTTTTAGTTTGGAAAACTTGGAAGCCCTTTTTGAAGCAGAGGCAATTACCAAGTCACCACTACCACTTGACACTTTTTCATCTCTTAAAACAATAAGTGTTTGGCAATGTCATAAAATAAAGACGTTGTTCCCCTTTTGGATGAATCTCCAGAGTCTAGAAGAAATTGAGATTGGATATTGCAATCAGATGGAAGAAATAATAGTATGGGATGCAGAAGAAGCAGAGGCAATTACCAAGTCACCACTACCACCTGACACTTTTTCATCTCTTAAAACAGTAAGTGTTGGAAACTGTCATAAAATAAAGAAGTTGTTCCCCTTTTGGATGAATCTCCAAAGTCTAGAAGAAATTCGCATTGAATATTGCGATCAGATGGAAGAAATAATAGTATGGGATGTAGAAGAAGCAGAGGCAATTACCAAGTCACCACTACCACCTGACACTTTTTCATCTCTGAAAACAATAAGTGTTTGTCACTGTCATAAAATAAAGACGTTGTTCCCCTTTTGGATGAATCTCCAGAGTCTAGAAGAAATTCACATTGGATATTGCAATCAGATGGAAGAAATAATAGTATGGGATGCAGAAGAAGCAGGAGGAGAAAAAGAAGGGGTCATCCAACTCATTCTTCCAAAATTGAAAATTTTGAAATTGAAAGAATTGCCCGCATTGAAGAGCATCTGTAGCAGGAGGGCAGTAATGGTATGTGATTCTCTGAAAGAGATTTGGATCTGGAATTGCCAGGGCCTAAGGAGGATCCCTCTGTATCTTTCCTTGCTTGATAACGGACAACCATCTCCTCCTCCTTCCCTCGAACGAATCAAAGTATGGCCACGAGAATGGGGGGAATCGTGGTGGGAATCGTTGGAGTGGGACCATCCCAATGCAAAGGATGTCCTTCTACCCTTCCGGAGATTCACTCCGTTGTGGAGCCTTTGTCTTTAATCAACGAAGAAGATGAAGAAGAAATCACCTATTGTCACTCTGCAACAGTCATCTTCACCATGGCTCCTCTAATCGATGTGGAAAAGGTTCATCTTCGCTTTGGTCTAGTTTTATTTCTAGACTAGAAATTGTTAATTCATGACCTACAAAATGAGATAGAAAGGAACATGGACGAAATATGGATTAATTAACTGACTTCTTTTTGTTGAATCAGGAAGCTGAGATATCCGCCTCTATCTCTTCATGGGCATCAAGGAATTTGGACACTTCTCAAAAGAAGGGCTCCGCAATTCTCAATTTGTAGTGCATTGTGAGTTGTATCATTTTCTGTAACTGGTAAGAGTGCCCGCTGCCAATCTTTTGTTTTAGGTTTTCAATCGTTAATGTTTTGAATCAGTCCAATTGTTAATTGCACAACTTCCTCAAGGTTTTGCTATTAAAGATGCCATGGATCTGAATTGCAAAAATATCAAAATTATTTATTTATCTTTTAGCTGAATCTTGGAATCCCAGTTGCTGTTAAAATTGGTCTATTGAGTTCGGTCTTTTTGGTCCTGGGATTTTTTTGAACTCAATTGTATTGGCATTTTGTGTTTTGGATTTGGTATTAGGATGCAATTCCAATGGAAGTTTGGGTTTCTTGTAAATGTCAGATTAGTAATACTATGTATAGGAGTTTTGGGGTGAAATGCAGTTGATTAATCAAATAACTTGTATCGTTGTTGGTGAAAATAAAATGAAAAAGAAAGGGGGGAAAACTAAAACACAGTATCATATATGGCATAAAAAGTAACTTAGCAACGCTTAGACTGGATGGTGTTTTGTCTGACTAATTTTGACAACCTCTGGTATAAGTTCTGGTATGGTGGGATAGGAGATGATAAATTTCCCCCTTTAGGTGTTTGTGGTTGCAGAACACCATTGTCCTTTTTGTTAATTCTTCCTATTTGTAATTTTTTTTTTTTTTTAATCTTTTTGCAATGCAGTTTGGCGCCCATGATGTAGTTGTATCAAAACGAAACATGGCTGATTCAGGAGCTCTTGGACGAGGTGTTGTTTACTGGCTAAAGGTAATTGTGGGTATTGAAAGATATTTGGGTTACTCAGTAAAATTTTTTTTTTTCTTGTTACGTGTGATTCCCCTGAACTCTTCTGCTGCTGATTTCATGTGCATGTTGAACAGGATTCCTTAATCACTGTTGCTTTTGATAACATCCCAAAAGAAGATTTAAACAGTCCCTTCCCCCTAGAAAATGTCTCTAACTAGGTTTGCTATTAAAATTCTTCAACAGCTTCTCTGCTTCTCATGGTGGCTTTAATTGTTATACACAAATCTTCGCAAGCCTAATTGTAATGAAACTAGTATAGAATTCTCAGTACCAAACTTTCTTCCTTGATATTGGTTTTGTAATCAATTTTATTACTATGTTTTACACTTTTACTGATTTAAGCTTATAAGAATTAAAAAAAATCCAAATTAATTTGTTGATGCAGGTGACATCTTGTAAGATGAAGTATGCCTTGATACAATTGAGCAAAGTCTGCTAAAGGGACCTGCTGCCAATATAGTTCCTGTCTTGTTAGGAGAGAGACTGCCAACATTGTGAAAGAAGGATGTAATGTTCTCCCCTTTTAATTCCCACCTTGATCTCTCTCAGGTGTGCAATTGTTTACTTCCTGAGTTCTTTTTCTTTTTAGATGACAAATGGTTTACCTTTTTCTTTCCTCCTTTTTTTTTTGGTTGGAGTGGGGGGTTGAACGTGTTTTGTGTTAAGTTACAAGTCATAAGAACTAAATGTATTGGTTGCTAATCACTTTCTCTTACATAATTTGCATTCTTAAATTCAGTTTTGAGTTGAGAACCGAAAATTGAAACTGACTGAACCCAATAGAATAGAATTGACTGTAGTGCATTGCAGTTCAACGACCTAGCTTATATAATCATATTAATTGTGCAAGCCTCACTTGGATCATTATTTTTGTTTTAGGTTTCAAGATTTATATCATTTGGAGGCTAGTTCCTGTACAAGAGAGTGAACCGTGTAGATAATTTTGTTTTACAAAGCCAGAGTGATACTGCTTTATTTTTAAAAAATAGGGAAGAATTTTTGGTGTGTAAATGTAAGGTTCAGTTGACATTCTACTTCACAAGAAACATCTCAAATTTCAGAAAGGTAAATATTGAGTTGATTGATTTACTTAAGGTTTAGGGAGACCCATAAATTCTAGGAAATTTTGCTATATACAATCATTGTATATTTGTAATAAAAGGATAATGTTTCATTTGCTTCAGTGGAATATATAAGAAAACAAGCGTGAAGATGATAGCACATTGAATGAAGGTGGAGCTAAGATTTCTATTTTAGGTACAAACTAAAGGAGATTTTCTCAGAGTGGAGTCTAAGGTTCAGATTTTGGAATGATTACCCCATATGCTGCACAGGTGCTATAGAGTGTACCATGTTGTCAGTTGTATCATTACTTTAGGTTTCCATCCTGTTGACAAACTGACCAATACATGGATTGTTTGCTCTTATAAATTTCAACTATGTTTTGGTTGACTTACAAAAGATGTTGAGAAGCAATGAGGATATAAACTGGGAAATTGATGTTTTGAGACCATGTTGCACCCACTCTCCTAGTGTTGGTGCCAGGGCTTGTGATGGACTTTGGAAGGTGTCGATGTCTGGGAAGTCAAAACCTAATGACCAAGTGGAGGAAGAAAGAGTTGGTACTGTAGCAAAATATTGGCACCTATTTCTCAAGGCTCAAGGATCGATCATGTCTAGACCTCAGCTGACGACGGTCACTTGTGGTTTATACATGGTGTCAACACTCAGAACTCAAGTGTTGAGACCTTTAGTTGCTGACAGCCTGACAGCCTTTTTATGTATGTTATACTTGTACCCATACATTATATGCTGATCATCTTTATAGGGGATGATTTTGATCTGGACTATGTCCCAAGGTTTTTTCTGATTTGGGTTTTCCAAGTAAAAATTTTGGTGTTGATTCTCTTTACTTTTCCGCAATTACTTTTGGGGATTTGATTACTAGTGGTTAGTAACAATGTCTTACTGTGTTTCCTTAATAAGTTTACAGAGATGGACAAAAATGCCATCTTGATGCGGTAATGCAACCTGCACTACTGCTAAACATCATAGTACCTAACTTAACTGAAGATCAAGAGATCTATTTATTACTAATTTTAGAAGTTCCAAATGGATGTAGGCCACATTAGCTCCTCTAGAATATCATGAACATGGAAGCTGGCATCTGCTCCTTGATGATCTGCTCCAATTCCATTCATCTCTATTGGAGCATCCCAGTTGAAGCTCTTCTCTCTGAAGGCTACAAGTTCTTCGAAATTGCTAACATTAGAATCCATCACTGACTCTGATAATTTCTGTGTAGGAATTCCACCTATTCCTCCTGTTTGTGACTGCTTTTCCTCTCTCACTATTGCAAGCTGCTGAAGGAACTCATTTAGATGAATCTGTGGTTTCTCTCGCTGCAGCATTTCCTCTGACAAAATATCCACATCTTTCTCCTTGGTTGTCAGATTTTCTATCTGCCTCTGGCTCTTCTTGCTTTTGACCTAAGTATCGGTTTTTGATTCACATGAAGATAAACTAGAAGAAGAAGAAGAAGATTGGTTCAGAGCTCCATTGTTCTTCTTGAGTTCTTCAAGCCTCTGATGGATAACGTGAACACTAGGTTGGGCATCGATATTGAGCAGACCACAAGAAGGAAACATGGAGATGAAATCCTTTGAAGGAATCCATGTGAATCTGTTCGTAGGATGAGAATATGAGTTGGGTTGAAGGTGAGAGAGATTGAGGTAAGCATCAGGTCCATAGAGTCTCCTTGCAGCCTCATCATAAGCCAAGGCAGCTTCCTCTGCAGTAGCAAAAGAACCAAGCCAGAGTCTGGTTCATTTCCTGGTCCCCCTGATTTCTGCCACCCATTTGCCCCATGTCCTTTGCCGGACTCCCCGGTATTGGCAGGAAGCATTCAGAGGACCGCCTTTGCCTCTGGTTGGACCTTTCTTCCAAGGCTTTATAGAAGATTTTCTGAAGGTTTCCATGGGAAGAAGTGAATGTGAGAACTGAGGAGAGTGCAAGTGCAGTGAAAAGAGCAGCATGGCGCGGGATTATGTAGGAAGTGAGAGCGCAGATTTGGTTTAAATGCTTTCACGTTTCAGAAAAATTAAGCTTTGAAACCCCATGAACTATGTTGGAAAAATAAACTTGATTTATTAATCTCCTATTTTTAGTCATGTACCTGCATAGTTCATGTACCAGCATAGTTCATGTACCCATTTATTTTATCTTTACAGTTTCTAGGAGTTTCATTTAACTGTTTTGGGTTTGGAGTTTTTTGTGCCTATAAAATGGCTTGTGCTTGTACTTGAGAATTGATACATCTAAGCCAAGAATAAGGAAGCATTTCTGGAAAGTTTCTTCCTGTGTTCCTCTCCAGTCTTTCCTCCCAAATCTTTATTTCCAACAATGTGACCGTTAGTGAGTATTGTTCAGATGATTTCAAATCCATGTATGTTTGGAAACCTTGCAAATTATGGGCATATGGATGCACTAATCTATGCATGATCTTCAACATTTTGCTTCTCCCTTTTTTTTCTAATGATTCTCTAAAAAAAAAAAAAAAAAAAGGTTTACATCCAAAGGGCCAAACTATATTCTATGACTTTTGGCATTACATCTGCTTAATCACAAACAGATCATTTGTATTACGACTGAAAATTTTGTCGAAAACCACCTCGTGATCATAATTTCTCTTAAAAATCAAATTTTGATCAACAAGATGATAACAAACTCCCTTAATAATCAGGACAGCTCTATTTGGATTTGCTTGTTAGTAATTGAACAAATAAAAGTGTTTAAATTATAAACAACTGTTAGTGATTAAATATTTATTATCAGCTATTTAAACAATTTATCCTGAGAGCGTAAGAGGGATTCTATTGGGTACTTTCTAGTTACCCTCAACTATCATTCCATATTCCTAGTTCAGTTTCATGCCCTTTGGCTTGGTGCGGCAATCCTGTGAACAGTAAGAATACTGGTAAAAGAAACCTCTGTTATTGACCTAGGCAAGAAGAAGATGAAAGAAACAGACTGTTGGGGTGCATTTAAAGGTGTTGTGGTGGTGACTAGAATTTGTGGATATTGTGTGTTTGAGTAGTCTCTTCCTCGGATTCCCATAGGAGGAGTGCTTCTGCATTGATCTATAAAGAGTTGAATTTCACCTCAAAACATTTTTCACTTTCACGAGCCCTATTTCACATGTTTTTCCAGCCATCCATGATCTGATTCCCGAGGCTCTTCTCACCTTTTTCCAATGCCCATCTCTCTCTCTAGGTAAATCATAACATTTCTCAGAATGGGAGCTGCCTCAGATCTCAAAATCATATCGCATGCTGAATTTAGAGTTCCCATGCTCATATATGTCATGATGGTAATGCCATGTTTTATGCACGTCATAAATTTACCCGCTCCCCGGGTGATACGATTCGAGCACTTGTATAAATGAACATTTGATGTCTGTAAACTTAAGAAAGTAACAATAATTGCAAGATCTGAGATCAATCCCATTTTCATGGCTCAATTTTGGCTTTTCTTTTTATTATGTTGGTAATATTTCATCAACCATCAAGTCAGCATATAAAGTTATAAACAAAGAATATGATTTGTACACAATGTTTACTTATCATAAAATCTTACAATTTTATGTGATAGTAATTAGAATTGACTCTCGTTTTACTCAATGAAAAGAGACGTGCGGGAATACAGGATGGCATGTGTTTATTGTAAGAAAACATTGTGTGCCAATAACTCTATAATCCGTATACACGAGAAACCAGTGACCAAAAACTGAAAGCATAACCGGAAATGAGTACTTTAATGAACAGAGAAAGCTCGTGG